AGAATATTTTAAATTACACGAATTTTGAAAAACAAAAAAACTATTTTTGAAAATTTTGAAAAAGAAAATGTTTTTGGGAAAGAAATGTCGAGATAGATAGTTAATCAAGTATATTCAAATTCTTAAAATTTTAGAATGAATTCTAAATAATAATAATAATAATAATAATCAGGGTTACCAGCGTTCGGGACGGGCCGAACGCCCGAACCCGAATGCCCGAACGTACGGGACCCCTTCGGAAGGCGTTCGGCCGTTCGGGCCGAACGCGGACCAAAAAAGAAAAAAAGAAAAAAAAAAAAAAGGTTTTCAAAAAATTCCGAAAAACAAATATGTTATGGAGCAAAATAAACTAAACAACATTTGCCTGGGCACTACATCCAAATTCTTTACCAAATTTGAATTAAAAATCAAATACAGAAAATAAACACGATGATAAAATAAGAAAAAATAAAAAGAGAATTAAAATGAGTGAGTGTGCCAGCACCTTTTCGACACCGCCATCTTTGCCGATTTTTAATTATTATTTGGCATTGACAAATGCCCTGAAGATGTACATCGCTCATTAAAAAATTTTCAAAAAATAATAATTTTTTTAGGCCCTGAAATAAAGTGAAAACAAAAAGTTAACGTGAAAAATAACAAAATAGTGTGTGGGCGAGCACGTTTTGACAACCCCATCTTTGACGATTTTTAATGTTTTTTTTGGCTTAGCAGAATAGCTTCAAAATTTATAGGCGTGTAGGTTACATCATTGACAACTCACAAAAACAAATTCAGAAAAAAAAACTTATTTTTAGGCCCCGAAATATATTTTGGTGGGGGCCGAACCTGGAGGTGTTTGGCCCCGCAACGGGAGCCCGAACGCTCGAACGTTCGGGGGCCAGCCCGGGGGCCCCCGAATGTTCGGTCAGGTAATCCTGATAATAATAATAATAATAATAATAAATAAAGGAATAAATGAGTTTTGATTTAAATCGAGGGCCTATCTACGATTGAATGTGTGGTAGCTTGGTGGGTAGGGTACGGGTAGATTTTTGAATTTTTTAAAATTTCAGAATGAATTTTATAATAATAATAATAATAATAATAATAATAATAATAATAATAAATAAAAGAATATGCGAGGCTACTGCCTCTAAGAGCCCTATCTGGCACCCTTATTGAAGTCGTCGGCCGCCCTAAGTGAAGGCAGGCTTGACGAGGCCCTCAGGGCCCTATTACAGCCACTGCGCAACTAAGGAAATTCAGGGAGTTGCGCAGCGCTAGTTGGTTGAGAGAGGCCAGCCTGTGCTGTGCGGACTCGGGGGATCGCGCGTGGGTTGTGCATGGGAGGGAGGAAGTTGGGGAAGTGGGGATCGGGGGAAATCGGGGGAATCCGAGGGGGGGCGGAAGGTCGGGGTTGAGGAATCGCAAGGGAAGCGCGCAGGAATCGGGGAAAGGCGGAGGAATGGATCGAGATCCGCGATCAGGGGGGTAGGGGACTGCCTCTTATACACATCTAGATGTGTATAAGAGACAGGTATGGGAGTGCGGGGGGGGAAGAGGGGTGACGTGG